ACAGATTATTAATCACATGCTGGCTGAAGAGATTCCTCATCTCAGTTTTAAAAGGTTTGTCCCCTCACTTGGAAGCTGTGCCCTCAGGTCCCAGTCTCTCCTACGAGTGGAAACATCTTCTCCACATCTACACTATCCAGGCTTCTCATTATTCTGGAAGTTTCAATCAGATCCTCCACCATCCTTCTAAATGCCATCAAATACAGACCCACAGTCCTCAACTCCTCTTATGTCAAGCCCTTCATCACTAGGATCATTCTTGTGAACTTCCTCTGGAGCCCTGCTATACCAGCACATTCTTCCGTAGACACAGCGTCCAAAAACCGCTTACAATATTCCAAATGCTATCTGACCAGAGCCTTATACAGCCTTAGCAGTACATCCCTGGTCTCTTGTAATGCTTGCTAACATTGCACTTGCCTTTCTAATTGCCAACTGAACTTGCATGTTAACCTTAAAAGAGTTCGGAATAGAACTCCCAAGTCTCTTTGTGCTTCAGATTTCCAAAACTTTTCCCTATTTAGAAAACAGACCACACCTGAATTCTTACCAAAGTGCATAACCTCACATTTTCCCAGATTGTATTCCACCTGCCACTTCTTTGCCCATTTGCCTAGCCTGTCCAAGTTTTTCTGCCTCCTCCATATTTCCTCAGCACTACCTGTCCCCCCAGCTATCTTTGTGTCATCTGCAAACTTAGCAACAATGTCCTCAGTTTTTAAGTCCAGCTCGTTAATCTATAACGTGATTAGTTGTGGTCCAACATGGATTCCTGCAGAACTCTACTAGTCACTGGCTGCCATACTGAAAATGACCTCTTTCTCCCTACTAGAGCTAGTAGGAACTGCAGGTGCTGGAAAATCCGAGATAACAAAGGGGTAGAGCTGGATGAACACAGCAGGCCAAGCAGCATCATAGGAGCAGGAAGGCTGACGTTTCGGGCCTAGACCCTTCAGCATCTTAGGAGCAGAAAGGCTGACGTTTCGGGCCTAGACCCTTTGTCAGCCTTCCTGCTCCTATGATGCTGCTTGGCCTGCTGTGTTCATCCAGCTCTACACCTGGTTATCTTTCTCCCTACTGTTTGCCTTCTGCCAATCAGCCAATCCTCTATCCATGCCAGTACCTTGTCCCTAACACCATGGGCTCTTATTTTATTTAGCAGTCTTGCAGCACCTTGTCAAAGACCTTCTAGAAATCCAAATAGATCATGTTAGCCTTTCATTATGATCCCTTTAGCCACAAGAGCTATAGCTACCTCCTTGATAACACAATGTTTTGGTCTCAAACACTTTCTGTGGTAGTGAATTCCATAGGGTCACCGCTCTCTGGGTGAAGAAATTTCTCCTCATCCCAGTCCCAAAAGTTTTACCACTTATCCTTCGACTACGATCCCTGGTTCTGGACTCCCCCACCATCAAAAAATCTTTCATACATCTAGCCTAACTAGTCTTGTTAGAATTTTATAGGTTTCTGGGAGATTCCCCATTATTTTCTAAACTCCAGTGATACAATCCTAAACAACTCAATCTCTCCTCATTTATCAGTCCAGCCATCCAAGCAATCAATTTGGTAAACCTTCGTTGCATTCCCTCTATAGCAAGACTATCCTTCCTCAAACAAGGAGGCCAAAACAGCATACAATATTCCAGGTGTAGTCTCACCAATACCCTGTATAACTGCAACAGGACATCCTTGCTCCTGTACTTGAATCCTCTCACTATGAAGACTAACAGAGTTTACCTTCTTTATCGCCTGCTGCACCTGCATGCTTACCTTCAGCGCTTCCTGCTCGGGGACACCCAGGTCTGATTGAACATTCTACTTATGTGGGAATTTCTCTTTATGTGGGATCTTGTCAAAAACCTTCTGAAAGTCCAAATAAACCAAATCCACGGATGCCCCCGAACAACTCCAGTAGTAACATCCTTGAAGAATTCCAGTAGATTTGTCAAGTATCATTGCCCTTTTGTAAATCCATGCTGACTCTCTGATTCTACCACTGATTTCTAATTGATCTGTTACAAAATGTTGATAATGAATTCTAGCATCTTCCCACTACTGATGTTAGACTCATTTGGTCTATAACTCTGTTCTCTCTCCCTCCCTTTTTGAATAGTGGTGTTACAGCAAACCTTATTTTAACTGGCACTTATGAACTAGCACTCTTGATGAATCAACAAAAATTATATATATCTGAGATACTGGAAGTTTACTGTATTGTCACTATCTCAGCAATGTCAGAGTAGTCAGTTGAGGATGAGAGATTATTGTCAGTAAGTTTTATTTAAGGCAAAGTTGCATTATTACTTAAGTGATTTACGCTGTGAATAAAGTTTAACAGTGATATGTATACTCTCTGCATTATGTTTCCATTACTGAGTGTGTGTTTTTACACTATGTTGATCTCTTGATCAACTGGAATATTTGACCATCCAGTACACTCCTGGTCCATTGGGTGCCGGTTAATAAGAAGTTTGTCATTTATTGGAACAGTATTTGAGGGCAGCTAGAGTCTAAAGAATCTTGGAGAATGACCACCAATGCATCCATTAATTCTAGGGTCACTTCCTTAAGTATTCTGGGATATACATCATCAGATCTACCATTTCCCTACTAATACAGATTTGTTTCAGTTCCTCTTTCTCACTAAACCCTGTTTTTCCCATTTTTTTTGGTACACCTGGTGTGTCCTAGGCCCAACTATCTTCAGCTGTTTCATCATTGACCTTCCCTCCATCATAAAGGTCAGACAACATAAGGATGTTCACCGATGATTACACAATGCTCAGCACCATTTATGACTCTTGATACTGAAACAGTCCATGTCTAAATGCAACAAGATCTGGACAACATCCAGTCTTGGGCTGAAAAGTCACAAGTAAGATCTGCATCACACAAATGCAAGGTAATGACCATCTCCAATAAAATACAGACAGACAGACAGACAGACAGACAGACAATCTAACAACCACCTCTTGACATTCAAAGGTGTTACCATCACTGAAACCTCCACCAATATCTTAAGGATTACATTGATCAGAAACTCAACTGGGCTTGCCATATGAATATAATGGTTCTAAGGGCAGGTCAGAGGCTAGGAATACCATAACAAGTAACTAATCTCCTGACTCCCCAAAGCCTGTTCACCATCGATAAGACACAAGTCAGAAATATGATGGAATACTCCCCACTTGCCTGGATGGGTGCAGCTCCAACAACTCAAGAAACTTGACACCATCCACGACAAAGCAGCCACCTGACCGGCACCACATCCATAAGCATCCCTTCCCTCCTCCACTGATGTCCATAGCAGCACTGTATATTATCTACAAGGATACACTACAAAAATTCAAAGATCCTTAGACAGCAACTTCCAAATCCATGATCATTTCCAACTAGAAGGACAAGGGCAGCAGATACATGGGAACACCTCCTCCAGCAAGCTCCCCTCCTAGCCACTCACCATCCTGACTTGGAGATGTACTGCTGGTTCCTTCACTGTTGATGGTCAAAACCATGGAATTCCCTCCCTAACAGCAGTGTGGGTCTACCTACACCACATAGACTACAGCAGTTCAAATAAACAGCTCACCACCACCTTCTCAAAGGCAGTGAGGGATGGGCAATAAACATGGCCCAGCCAGTGACGCCAAGGTCCCACAAGTGAATAAAATAAACTGCAGAGTAGCCTCATTGTTGTTACACTGTCTCTAGTGTAGGATAAGACCAGGACACAATGCTCAAGAGCATGGTCTAGCAGTTTGTTCATAACTTCTGACTTGTACAAGAATTCCAGCTAATATAGTTAAACAGTTTATTGCTCTGGACCTGTTTGGACAGACTAAGTGTTGGGTCTAGACTCTTAACTTTATCCTAAGATACTACACCATCATTCATGGAGTCCATGTACACTTTGTTTTTTTCATGTTATGTACTTTATAATGCCTTCATGAAATTTTATGGACCATTGCTCTGCCTACAATGATACTTTCATCACATATTGTGATCACAATCCCAACAAGCAGTCTCTGGAGAAGCACAAAAGACAAATATTGCTACAATTATCATTGACTATTACTCAAATTGCCATTCAGGAGATTTGCAGCAAACAGAAAAATAAATTCATATACAATTCTTTCAAACATTGTTAGAATTTTGCTGACCACTGAAACGCTAAGTGCTCATGAATTCAAATTAGGTGAACAGCAGACTACAAGTGGATTTCTTTGTTATATAGCTGGTACATTTTGAATTGGGTGTTCCTGCATCTGAAGGTTCAGTCTTTTCTCTATATACTGATTATCACGCACAGAAACACACCTTAGCAACTACATAAGAATTGCCTAAAGATATGCAATTTACAAGAGAAAATTTGTTGTTGTCTGGACTGAACTGTGAGCTCAATTCAGAAACTACAAGAAAAAAAACTCTGCTACACAATATCTGGATGAGCATAGCAGAGATTTTCATCCAGCATTTCAACATATACAAAGATCCCTGGATTGCTCAAAAGAAGGAACAGAAGATGGGTAACACTTTACTAAATGGAGGGCGCGGGGGGTGGGGGGGTGGTGGTTGGAAAAGTGCACAAATAAAAACTCAGAAGAGGGCGAAGCAGACGAGGATTTTTACTATGCTCTGGCTAGAAGCCAAGGAAAAAACACAAGACTTCAGACTGTAAAAGAGCCCAATGTCACTAAGCTCCCAATCAAATCATCAAGTTTCAAAAGATTTATCAGCTGAAAACATCATGAACAGTTCAAGTAAGTCCATCACCACCAACACCATTTAAGATAGCTTGAAGCTTTGTTAGAGTCCAAAGCAGCTTAAAACTGAACACAAGTCCCCACTTTAACATTCAGAACATCCATCATAAAAACTTGGTTCGGATTGTTTATTGAGTATTTAAAGCCAAACTGATCAAAACCCATTGGAGGGTTTAAACTGTTGAAGGCTAATAGTAACAATACACAATTTCAAAGTTAGAATGTAGAAATCACCTTGGGGAGGTATGGCATTCCTCGAATACTTTGCACCATCTTCTCTCCTTCAGGATGGATCTTAGCAACGTGCTTCCACATCCTATCCCAGGTGGCCTCATCGACAGGGAGTCCCCCTCGGTTAATGTAGAAAGGAACCCCTTCATCCCGGAATTCCTCATCACCATCCTCACCCTGGTCCTCATCTCTTTGCATATTCCTCTCAACGCTGACAGGTCCCACGCTGGCTGACCTCCTCCTAACAATAGAAGCATCTCCTCTTCCCTCTGACATTGCTAATGCTGTTACTTTTAGATGAATGAAACCCTTTCCCCTTCGCCCACTCACTTGGACAATAAACGGAGAGCACAGATCGACATGATTCAGTGTAAAACCAAAGGGCGTGTGAATTGATTAAAACTCAGTGAAATGTGGTGCGTACAGAAAGATGCTTGGCTTCTTGCAATGCCCCTCCATGACTATCCTATACAGTTAAATCTAATCCCAGAGACACTCCCTCCCTGAATCCTTGCTCCTCTCGCTTTGTATCCAGACAGTCACCTCGCTGGCGTCATGAACACGCCCTCCGTGCCCTCCCATTGGTCAGAATGGTCGAGGAGGCAAGGATGCACATGCGCACACCCCCTTTAACCCAAGGCATTACGTCACTGTTTGCGCCCCTTCCAGTTGTAATCCTTATCGGAGTGATTCGGATCACCAGAGCGGGTCCCGGTGGAATCCGTATTTGAGTAATCCGGATCATCAGAGCGGGTCCCGGTGGAATCCGTATCGGAGTAATCCGAATCACCTGAGCGGATCCCGGTGGAATCCGTATCCGAATGATCCGGATCACCAGAGCGGGTCCCGGTGGAATCCGTATCAGAGTAATCTGGATCATCAGAGCAGGTCCCGGTGGAATCCATATCGAAGTAATCCGAATCACCTGAGTGGATCCCGGTGGAATCCGTATCACCAGAACGGGTCCCAGTGGAATCCGTATCCGAGTGATCTGGATCACCAGAGCGGGTCCCGGTGGAGTCTGTATTGAAGTGATCCTGTTCATCTGAGTGGGTTCCAGTGTAATCTATATCACAGTAATCCAGTTCACTTCAGTGGGTTCCAGTGTAATCCATATTGGAGTGATCCGCTTCACCAAAGCCAGTCCCGGTGTAATCTGGATTGGAGTGATCCTGTTCGAGCAGTCCCAATGTAATAGGATTGGTGTGATCCGGATGGAGCGAGTGCTGGTATAATCTGCATAGAGCATGTCCTGATGTATTCTGGATTAGTGAAATGTGGTTAGAGTGGGTCCCAGTAAATCTGGTCAATGTAATCCGCTTGGAAGGGAACTCAATGAATCAGATTCAGTTGTTTGCTGAGCAGGGTTGGAGAGGTCCCTGTAAATTCACTTCAACTCAGTATTAATCCAGCTGGGATTGGAGATTTTCCAGTATTTCTAGATTAATGTCATAATGTTAGAGCGGATCCAGATAAGTGTAATCTGACTGGAGTGATAAACTTTCATCACAACCTGTCTGGAGGTGTCTGGTGAATCCGGATCGGTGTAATCCAGTTAACAGCGACCCGACGGATTCAGTGGAAGTGGATCTTTTTTAATCATTCACAGGCTGAGGGCATTGCTGGCTAAACCAACATTTATTGCTCATCCCAGAAGGCAATTAAGAGTCAACCAAGCCACATTACTGAGAGTCTGGAGTCATGCGTAGGCCCAAACAGGCAACAAGAGCGGTTTTCTTCCCAGAAGGACATTCGTGAACCAAATGGGGTTTTCTGACAATTGACATGGTCATCATTAGACTCTTAACTACAGATTTTTATGGAATTCAAGTTCCAACATCTGCAATGGTGGGATGTGAACCCATGTCCCCAGAACATTACCTGGGTCTCTGGATTAACATTCCAGCAATAATACCACGAGGCCATTGTTTTACCATTGAATCAAATAAGGTCCATCAAATCAAGTTCAGGGTAATCCAATTATAAGGGATCCAATGAATGTGGATCAGTGCAATCCAGTTGAAAGGGACCTGGTGAATCTGGATTAGTATAATCAGTTGTAGCGAACCTGGTGAATCCAGACCAATGTAATCTAGTTATAGGGGACCTGGTGAATCAAGAATAATAGGAAAGGTTTAGAGGGATACGAGCCAAATGCGGGTAAATGGGACTAGATTAATTTAGGATATCTGGTTGGCATGGACGAGTTGGACCAAAGGATCTGTTTTCATGCTCTACATCTACATGACTCTATCAACGTAATCTGGTTCGGGGGAGACCCAGTGAAACCGGATCAGTGTAATCCAGTTATAGGGGACCTGGGCACTTTCTTCCACTTCACTGACGAACAGAAGGAAATCTCAGCCGCTTGCTCGGTGTAATTAATTGTTAATCACAGCTCGGCCATCGGGTTGTTTTCACCATTGAACAGTCTCATCAATTGGGTACTTCTGAATATTATTTTCCTTTTTTTCATCTGGAGCTCATATCAGTCAAATGCTTGACTTAAGTATTTCCGCTTCGCTCTGTTCAGGAATCTATTTTCAGATTAGTTGCACATTGTTAATAACAATTTTCTTTCCGGCTCCTCGACAAACATTCAAAACTGGACGATAGCGGGCGAAAACCGCTGGCGCAGGCGCATTACGACATTCTGAACCCAGGCCGGCCCGCTGCGCAGGCGCACTGGTACATTTTGGTGACGTCAGCCAGGCTCTTACGCAGGCCCATTCGCGCTCGGCTGTGGGTTTGGGGAGGAGGTTTTGGCGCAGGCGCATGATGACGTTGCGGGTAGAGGTTTGGCGCAGGCGCGTTAGTGTTGGCGGGTGTGTTGGTTCGTAAAGGGACGCTGTTGAGGCTGTTGCAGTTACCAAGGGAGACGGTGTGAAGCTGTGGACACGGCAAGGCTGAGTGCGAGTATCGACGCGAGACCTGCAGCAAAGAGGAGGCACTAACTCAGGTAAAGAGGTGCAGAGGATTTCCCCCACCTGGAGCTGACCCCCCCCTCATCCCTGTCAATGCCCATTGGAAAATGAGCCAGGTGGAAGTTGGTAACAGGCTGGGCGCTTTGGGTTAGGCCTGGGAACTGGGTCAGTGCAGCAACAAACTAGGAGGTTCACTCACACCCTCAGCCCCTGCTGTCATTGATTCAAACCTAATTGGCCTGACCCAACTTTGGTATCGGCAGACTTCCTTCAACACTGGTTCACTCGCCCATTGTGATTATGTCAGTTTCTTTGAAAGTTATCCAACGATCCATGATCACGTTGAAACGTGTAATATACTTGATGGGCTGAATGGCCTACGTACCTTGTCTGTGCCCCTCAGAATTTTGTACAGCTCGATCACTCCACTCCTCAGCCTTCTCTAGTTGAAGGTAAACGAGTCTCAACTCCAGCCCAGTCAACATCCTGCTGAATCACTTCTACAATCTCTCAAGTGCAGTCACATACTTCCTATGTGTATTTGGAAAATTCTTTGTTCCAGTCCTACTCTGGTCCCCACCCACAACTCTCTCTCTAGCACATTGATGACATCATTGGTACTACTTCCTTTTCTTGTCAGGAATTGGAAAAGTTTATTAATTTCACTTTACTTCCAATTTTACACCTCCCTCTTACCTTCACCTGCTCCAACTCTGATACCCTCCTTTGCTTCCTCGACATCTGTGTTTCCGTTTCTGGGGATAGGCTGGCCACCAATATTGACTACAAGCCCACTGATTTGCACTATTACCTTAACTATACATCCTCACACCCTGCTTCCTGTAGTTTGAATTGAATTTGCTTTATTCTCAGGTGCACTTGAATGAGTGCAGTGAAACTTTTGCAGTTTTGTGCTTATGGTGCCATCTTAGGAACAATGTACCTGGGTACAGATACTTTAAGCATTTGGTACAAAATTGAAAGATTAATAAATAAAAGTTGAACGTAAGAAAAAAAAGTTTTAAAAAAGGTACTTGAATTTTCACTCAAGTCCGTGCCATCACTTAGCCTCCAGACTACACCAAGCTCCAGACCGCTCCAGACAACACTGGGCTTCAAATCACGAGGCCTTGCCAGGACATCCGCCTCCCTGTGCTGGCTGGCGGGTGGTTGGGGATCTGCCTCTCACATTCCCCCCTACCCAGCAATTTAAAAGTTTGAAAAAAAATTCTAGAAAAGAGAAAAAAGAAGAAAAAGAACAGGTGGAGCAGAGGAGCTCCGGCTGGAGCGTCCTACTCTGCCGCCATCTTGCTGTCCTGTAAAGTCTCTATTTCATTCTCTTAGTTCCTCTGTTGGATCGGTTCTGATGATGATAGCTTCAACAAGGGGGCCTCTGAAATGCCCACCTTCTCTCTCAACCAAGAATTCCCCACCGCCATAGTTTGACAGGGCCTACAGCCAGGCCTGGCTCATTTCCCTCACTTCAGCATCCCCCCACTTCCTACCGCAAGTGCGAATAGGGTCCCCCTTGTCCTGACCATCCCACCAGCATCCACATTCAAAGATCATTAACCTCCATTTCTGCACTGTCAGTGGGATGTCACCACTAGACACGCATTCCCCTCCCTTCCCTTGTCATCCTTCGACAGGTACTGTTCCCTCCAGACACCGTCCGTTCTTTCTCCATTCCCAGCACCTCCCCACACCCCCATAGCACCACCCTATGCAACACAGAATGTGTCATACCTGTCTGTTTACTTCCTCTATCCTCACTATCCAAGGCCACAGACCAACACCTTACAGGTGAAGCAGTGTTTTACTTGCATTTCACTCAATTCTGTCGACTGTATTTGCTGCTTACAATGTGGTCTCCTGTACACTGGGGAGTTGAAGCGCAGACTGGATGACTGCTTTGCAGTACACCTACATTCTGTCTGCAAAAATGCCTGACACTTCAACACACCATTGTGTTCCATGGCCAACATCTCTGTCTCCGGCTTCCTATAGTGCTCCAGGAAAGCTCATAGAATCTCTACAGTGTGGAATCAGGCCATTCGGCCCAACAAGTCCACACTGACTTGTGGACTGAAGAGCATCCCACCCAGACTCAATCCTCTGCCCTATCTCTGTAACCCTGCGTTTCCCATGGCCAATCCACTTAATCTGCACATCTTTGGACTGTGGGAGGAAACCGGAGCACCCCACGCAGACATGGCAGAATGTGCAAACTCCACACAGGCAGTCGCCTGAGGGTGAAGTTGAACCCGGGTCCCTGCTGCCACTATGCCACCCAGGACAAGCTCAAAGAACAACACCTTATTTTCTACTTGGGAACCCTGCAACTTTCTGGAC